GCACCAGGGACTTAGTGAGTCTAGTTTGCAGTGACCAAGCAAGGGGCTTTCCCATTTCCCCAACATCTCCACAGCCTGGTAGCTCTCATAGGTAGGAAGTTCCCTTGATATTCAGCCTAGCTGTATCGTTCTTTGTTCCTTCCAGCTTTGCTCCTCCACAGAACAATTCATTAGGGATGGCCGGTGGGGGCAGTGGTGTTGCCTCCAGGACATATTCCAGGGTGTCCAGTCTAGATTTAGGGGTGTTCCAAGCAGTGAAGTGCCCACTTTTCCCTTGGGAGACAATACCCAGCCTCGATCATAAGAATGGCCATATTGGATCAGAGCAATGGTCCATCAAGCCCAGTATCCTGTCTTCCATGCCAGTGCCAGAGGGAGTGAACAGAACAGGCAATCATCTGAGTGATCCATCCCCTGTCGTCCACTCCCAGCTTCTTGCAGACAGAGGCTAGGGACACTCAGCATGGGGTTGCATTCCTGCCCATCCTGGCTAATAGCCACTGATGGACCTATCCTCCAGGAACTTATCTAATTATTTGTTGAAGGCTGTTATGGTTTTGGCCTTCACAACATCCTCTGGCAATGAGTTCCATAGGTTGACTGTGCATTGTGTGAATAAATACTTCCTTTTGTTTGTTTTAAACCTGCTGCCTATTGATTTCATTGGGTGACCCCTCGTTCTTATGTTATGTGGAGGAGGAAATAACACTTCCTGATTCACTTTCTCCAAACCAGTCAAGATTTTATAGACCTCTATCATATCCCCCCTTAGTCGTCCCTTTTCCAAGCTGAAAAGTCCAGTCTTTTTATTCTCTCCTCATATGGCAGCCGTTCCATACCCCAATCATATTTGTTGCCCTTATCTGAACCTTTTCCAATTCCAATACATCTTCTTTGAGATGGGGCGACCAGATCTGCCCACAGTATTCAAGATGTGGGCGAACCATGGATTTATATAGAGGCAATATGATATTTTCTGTCTTATCTATCCCTTTCTTAAGGATTCCCAACCTTCTGTTCGCTTTTTTGACTGCCGCTGCACATTGAGTGGAAGTTTTCAGAGAACTATCAACGACTCCAAAATTTCCTTCTTGAGTGGTAATCGCTAATTTAGACCCCATTATTTTATACGTACAGTTCGGATTATGTTTTCCAACGTGCATCACTTTGCATTTATCAACACTGAATTTCATCTGCCATTTTATTGCCCAGTCACCCGGTTTTGTGAGATCCTTTTGTAACTCTTCACAGTCAGCTTTGGACTTCACTAGCTTGAGTAATTTTGTATCGTCTGCAAATTTTGCCACCTCACTGTTTACCCCTTTTTCCAGATCATTTATGAATATGTTGAATAGGACTGGTCCCAGTACAGACCCCTGGGTGACACCACTATTTACTTCTCTCCATTCTGAAAACTGACCATTTATTCCTACCCTTTGTTTCCTATCTTTTAACCAGTTACCAATCCATGAGAGAACCTTCCCTCCTATCCCATGACAGTTTACTTTGCTTAAGAGCCTTTAGTGAGGGACCTTGTCAAAGGCTTTCTGAAAATCTAAGTACACTCTATCCACTGGATCGCCTTGTGCTCATGTTTGTTGACCCCCTCAAAGAATTCTAGTACATTGGTGAGGGATGATTTCCCTTTACACAAACCATGTTGACTCTTCCCCAACAAATCGTGTTCATGTGTGTGTCTGGTAATTCTGTTCTTTACAATAGTTTCAACATTCCTGAGTTTTCCTGATGTTCAGACAACATTTCCCTTCTCTTAGTTCGACACCATTCCCCCTTGTGCCACTCTCTTCTTCACTATCGGGTCCCCTTCTACCACAGATCATTCTTTAGCTAAACTGAAGGCAGTTAGGCTCAGATCCTCCAAGGTCTTTAGGTACCTAACTCCCACTGAAATCCGTGGGAGTTAGGTGCCTAAATATCTCTGAGGATCTGGGGCTTTATCCTTTCCATTTTCTCTTCTGGCAGCCCACCACCACCATCCGCAGAGGCCTCTGCCCAGGGGAGTCAGGCAGGTTTCTTATGCCTGCCGACTTGTGGCAATTAGCAATGTCTGTGTGATTGACTCGGAGGAGAGGGCGTCTGACTGATGGGCCCTTTAATTCTGGGCTGCTTCAGACATGGAGGAAAGCCCTGCTCTTGTTACATAAGGCTCCCTAGTTCATGCAGTAGCTGGGGCACAAGGTCAGGGGTCACAGCGGGGTCAGGTGGCTGACACACACTGTAACAACAAGGTGGTTAAAATTAGCCCACAGAGAGGAAACTGGCAGCATTGTGGAAGTGCAGAAGCTTCCTCTGCGCTGCAGCCTGGTGCGGGGGGGGGGCAGGCACGCTGCGTGCCGCCTGCCAGCCCATTACTCACTGTCGCCTGGCCCCTCATGCTGCCTCAGCCCTGCTGCTGTATTTCTGCTCTCCACACTGCACGTCTTTGGGGTACGCAGTGTATCCCAGAGCAACATGGGATCCTGATGCACTGCAGTGCTGCCCCATCTCTTCCCCATGCCCACACTGTGTGTTGAGCCTCCCAGTTGCTCTCCCATTGTGTGGGGTGCTGCCTCTGCTTCCTGATGTCTGATCCTTGTGCCCTCCCGATGGGTGCTGGGCACTCAGGTTCACTGTGGTCGCACTGGAGAGAAATCAGCTAGAACCCATAAATGAGCTGCCTGGTTCTGGGGTCCATGAGTGGGGAGCAGGCTGCGGCCTTCTGACTTGGGGAGCAGAATCTGGGCACTGCTTCCAGTGTAAACGGAGTAAAGTGGAGCCAGAACCAAAGTCCATGTGAGACTGGTACAAAAAGAAGTCCAGTGAGCATGAGAGAGCAGGGCACAAGGGTAACTCGTTGCTGTGAGCTTGGCCATCACAGGTTTGTAGTACTTGGGGCCCCGGTTTGCAGTGGACAGGACAAACCGTCGCCAAGGGTTCGGCTCTCCCAGGCTGGTGTCCCAGGGAAAGCAGCAGGCAGAAAGGGTACAGGCGCAGTGCTCTGCTCACTAGCAGGGGAAGGGATTCTGATCTGCCCATGGTCTGGGGCTTGGGGCCCAGGCAGAGGGTCTGGTGCAGGGCTGGGAGGCTTGTGGCACCAGCGGGGAGCGTTCCAGGCTCTGGTGCTCTGGAAACTCCATCTGAGAGTCTCATACATTTGATAATTACCCACGCTATTGAATTGCATCCTGGCTAGCTCAGCCCTGACAGGCTCCCTGGTTATTTTGTGAGATGAGCTCATGGGCTGAGGCAGCAATGGAGTCTGGGAGGTGCGTGGCTTTTGTAAAATGCCCCCACCTGCTGGCTCTCAGCACCTGTGTCCTTCCCCTGACAGCTGTCCGCCTGACCCCTGCTCTTAAAGCGTTTGAACCCTCCTGCTTCCATCGTGGAGGCTGTCGGGGGCGCCTGTTGATTTAGCTGAAATGAAACAGCCAGGACAGTCCTCCTCGTTCATCTCCCACTTGAGCAGGTTTCCAGCTCTTGGGTGGGAATTCTGCCTGGGGGTGGGAGGCCTTTCCTTCAGCTCTGACCCAGGAGTGGGCTCCAGGGGAGAGGCTGGGGAGGTGGCCCCTGTCTGCAGTGCACAAGCCATTCTGTGAGAGGTGTCGGTGCCTGTGCTCGCATTAGCCTGCCCCAGTTCTCCCTGCCCCTGGGCCACTAGCTCAAGGGCCAGACACTGGAGCCGGGCATCGAACCAAAGGGGGCTGAGGAACCGTCCTCTCCCAGGTGCTCACTTGGTCCTGCCATATGCATCGGCACTGCTCGCAGCAGCTGGGCCCCAGGCTCCGAGGTTTCCCTTTGGTCAGTGGCTGACCACCGCTGCTCTCTGCCTTCCCTGGGCACTGACTCTGTTTTTCTTTCTCTCCCTGACCCCCTCGTCCTCACCCTGTAGGTTATTGCAGCTGACTGCAAGAGGGTCACAGTTCTGAAGTATTTCCTGGAAGCCCTTTGTGGACAAGAAGAGCCTTTGCTGGCATTCAAGGGTGGAAAATATGTGTCAGTGGCACCCGTCCCAGACGCCATGGGAAAGGAAATGGGAAGCCAAGAGGGAAAACAACTGGAAGATCAGGTACCGTGCGGGAAGAGCGCGCCTCGGCGAAGGAAGGGTCACCCCTGTGGGGCCCAGCCCCTGCCGGCCCTGCAGCTCCCACTATTTATAGCCAGGGTGGCTGTGTGTGCATTCTGCACTGGGGCGGGGGGAGGGGAATGGTCTCTCTAGTCTACTTTGCTGGTGCCCCTTCCTGCCAGTCCCACCCATGTGCCTCTGTCTTGCTCACTGCTATGAGTTCCAGATGCTGCTGTTCCATACGTAAAGGGGGAAGAGCTCTCCTAGTGTGCAGCGCGGGAGCCCGGCGAGGGGGTGTCAGGGTTCAGGCTCAGGATCAAGTTTACAGCCGTGGAGCTCAGGGCGGCAGAGGCCTGAACTCCAGCCTCCAGCACACGCACAGGAAGAGCTGACATTCGCGCCCCCTCCCTCCCTCCCTGCCTCTCACATCCTGATGTGATTAAGGAATTCTCCTCTTGTTTTTCTGCCCTTGCTTGTTCCTGTAGCCCTCGCTTCACTCCAGGCACAGTGTGTGTGTCCAGCGGCCCTGCCAGCCATGCTGCAGGTTGACACTTTCCTTGTGTTTAATCTTGCAGTTTGAAATGCCAGGGAAACAGTGGAGGCATTTGGAGCTGGGGGCTGGGTGGCCCTGGCTCTGCCCATCCTCCTCCATCGGGGGCTAGAAAGACACAGCAGGTTAGAGTAGGGAAAGCCCTGTATTGGCCGTGGCTGTGGGTGGCCTGCCTTCGGAGAGTGCACTTAGCTAGTTCAGCTGTCCCCAGAGGAGGGCTGGGTGGAGCCCAGGCACCCAGCAAGAGAGTGCAGAGAGTGCCCTAGCTCCCTTCAGCCCGCCTGCGATCTCTGCATGGCAGCCCTGGGGGGGGGGGAGCTGAGACCCTGACCTGCAGGGACACAGATCAGGACTCCGGCTGTTGGGAAGGACGGTCAGAGAGCCCCTGTGATACACAGAGACGTGACTCCTTCTGCTCTGAGATAGAGACAGACCAGAGAGCGAGAATGACCCATCTGGAGTTTTGTGGCACAGTTCAGTGTCCGCCACTCGGGCACCCTCATTCCTCTCAGCAGAGATTTCCTGGCGGCAGCGCTAACCTTCTTCCATAACTGGGCTAAGGGGCAGAGAATGGCGCCCCATGCCCTGTCATTCCCTGCCCCTCCGGGCTAACCAGGGAGGCCCTAGGCTTGCTTAGCTGTGGGAACCTCTCTGTGAAATCCTTACGTAACCCACGAGCTTCTGCATTTGGGTCCGAGCTGAGCCTCAAGCAGGCCAACGTGACCATCCCCTGACCCTGGGTGAGCTTATTCCAAACCTGGAAACAACACTGCAGGCTGCACATCTGTACTGTGCCCCGCACTGGGGCGGTCGTCTCTCTACCTCTCGCTGTGGTCTGTGCTGTCCTGAGAGAAGGAAGTGAGTCTGAGGGCTCAGTCTTCCTCCTTCCCATGGCTACAGGGTCACTAGGAGGGAAGAGCTGCTCAATGTGTGGCCCTGCCTGGTCTCAGTAAAATTACTGAGTGTGAAACCAGGAAGCATGAGGTGCCCAGTGCATATGTGAGTAGCCCCTGTGCTCCCTGAAAGCCTCTCCGAGTTCTTCGAGCTGCGCTGAGGTTGGGGCACCCAGAGATTTAGTACACTTTCTCCCAGGCTGTTAGCCTTCGCCTCTCTTGCCGGGTCCAGGGCTTGGTTGAGACTTGAAAGCCTCACCGCCTGGCCTGGGAACTGGTGCTCTGTGTGTGGCCGTGGGAATGTCTGAGCAGGCCCAGTCCTGGAAAGACCATCTGAGCAAACCAAACTGACCCCCAAACACGTGCCATGTGACATAAAGAGCAGGGGCTAACTTCCAGCACAGGGGCTTCCACAGGAACCGGAACCCAAAGACTCATAGACTTTAAGGCCAGAAGGGACCACCATGATCATCTGGTCTGTCCTCCTGTACATCGCAGGCCACAGAGCCTCATCCACCCTCTCCTGTAACAGACCCCTGATCTCTGGCTGAGTTACTGATGTCCTCCAATCGCCGTTTGAAGATTCAAGTTACAAAGAATCCACCATTTACACTAGTTTAAACCTGCAAGTGCCCCGTGCCCCATGCAGCAGAGGAAGGTGAGGGGAGTGTCAGGGTTTATAGCCATGCAGCTCAGTGTGGCAACGGAACTGCCATTTCCTCCTCAGCTCCTCACACAGTAGTCCTGAGGCCCTTCCAAGGGGATTTCTTGAAACAAGACAAGAAGCCCCCAATATGAGCCCTTCCCACCCAATTTCCTCAGGCAACTGCACATCCTTACTGGCCTGGACCAGCATACACAGCCTGCTGCAGTCACCAAGGGTATCAACCACCATCCAGGAGCGAGTCAGAAATGTAAATGAGTCAACTTATTAACTAGGAATGTGCTCGTGCAAAACCCAGAGGATGCTGTACACTCTGCCCTGAAACCACGATGAGGCAGAGGCCGAGTCCAATACAGAGTGTTTCTAGAAGGGTCCCACGGGATCTCTTCTTGACCCAAAGCTATTCAGTCTTTGTCAGCGGTGTGGAAGAAAATATAAAATCCCTGGGGGTGAAGTTTGGAGCTGAGGCCCAGACTGGTGCTGTGGTGGATAATGGTGGGATAGGGCAGTTCTCGAGAGCAATGCGGATCACTGGGGAAGCTGGGCGCCCTTGGCCAACCTGCATTTTAATGCAGCCAAAGGCTCCAGCTAGGAGCCAGGAATGCAGCTCTAACTTACAGGGGGGAGGGGGGACTGTGTCCTGGAAAGTGGGGGCTCTGCTAGGGCCGTGGGGTCATGGTGGAAACCGGCTGAAGCGATGGGCTGGCTAAGAGGGTGAATGCAGTCCTTGGCTGTGGAGCAGGAGGAGGGAGGTGTTCCCACTGCACCCGGCCTGTGGGAGACTGTTACGGGGGTGGTGCTCAGTGCTGGTGTCCACACTTCAGAAAGGACGTGGGCCAGCTGGAAGGGCTCAGAAATGAGCTGCAGTGATTCGAGGTCTGGAAAACCTGCCTTCCGGTGAAGGGAGAGACGCTCAGCCAGTGCTAGCCAAGAGAAGAGGAAGAGGTGACTTGATCACGGTCTGTGAATACCCACCTGGAGGAAGATCTGTGAGCGGAGAGGGCTCCTCAGTCCAGCAGACAAAGGCTGAACAAGACCCAGGGGCTGGGAGCTGAAACCAAAGTCAGACTGGAAATGAGGTGCCAGTGTTTCAGAGTGAGGGTAACAGCTCAACGAGGGATGGGTGGATTCTCCACACTTGGAGTGTTTAAATCCAGATTGGACTTCCCTTCCCAAAGATCTGCTGTGGTGCAGGCAGAAAGGATGGGCGTGATGCATGGAGCGCTGGGGACAGGTCTCTGGCCTGAGTTACACAGGAGGGCAGACCAGACAATCTAATGGTCCCTCTGGCCTTGGAATCCAGGAATCTAAGTTTCCTTCTCTAGTTGCAGAAGGCTCAGTTTGTGTTTCCAGCCTTTATTGAGTTTTCACTTCTGTTACGGTAGTACTGAGAGGGCTCAGCTGCAGTTGGGGCCCATTGGTAGACACATGATAGGACGCAGTCTCTGCCCCAGAGAGATTACAGTCTAAATAGACAAGGCAGAGGAAGGGTGGGCGAAAGACAGCTGCATTCTCCCCATTCGCAGAGGTTAAATAACTTGTCCAGGGTCACACCAGGAGTCTGGCAGAGCCTGGAATTGAATGCAGACCGGTGCTTTAACCACCACACTTACTCTAAGCCTCAGCTCTGGATTTCCTGGCCTTTCTGGTGTCACTCAGCCCCGTTGTGTTAACTAACGGTAGATGGGGAGGAGGGTCATTTCCCTTGGGAGTGTCAGAGCGGCTGGGGGCTTTGTGTGCTGGAGAGGGGCATTCAGTGTTGCTGACTCTCACCTATAATGAATTCTCCTGTTCTGGTTTGTCTGGATTTCCTGTAAGAAGGAGGATGACTTGAGGATTGAGGCGTTTGAAGATGATTCTGAGGCTGAAGTCAGTGGAGAAGAGTTTGACATCAGGGAACTCAGAGCCAGGAAGCAAGCCCTGGCCAGGAAAGTAGCCGAGCAGCAGCGTCGTCGGGACAAGATTCAGGTAGGGCAGCCTTGGCGAGTGAACCAGCGCGCCTGGGACAATGGGGTTGTCGCTGGGAGGGCAGGATTCAGCTGTTCTCCCTGCTGTGTCAGGGAGCTATTGGGGAGTCTCGCAGAAGCCTGAGCTTTCCTTCCGGGTCACATGGGAGAGAGTGGAAAAGCCTCCATTGGCTTCAGAAGAAAGGGGCCAGGCCAAGGTGAATGCAAACCTGTCAGAAACTCGGGAGCAGCCAGGGCAAGCTAGGCCAGGTGGCACTGTGCGGGGTCATCCTCCGGTCAGGGATCTGCACAGCCAGGCCTCGTGATGTGCCTCTGCATGTCCACCCTGGGGGGGGGGGTCTCCGCAGTCAATTAAAGAGCCCCCATAGGGAGATGCTGCCCCATGGCTGTAACCAAAGCATCACTATGGCAACACAAGCAGCCAGCTAAAGGTTCTCTTACTCTAGCCCCGTTGAGTTCCTAGAGCTTTCCCCAGTGGTATCTTGTGAACTAAACTGGCTGGATTTGGAGCTGGGCCCTGGTTGTGAGCACACTGGCCCTTTAAGAGCAAGCCCACATGCATGGCTATTGGCCACTTTGCTTTCTCTGGCCCCTCTTTCTCCTCCACCCTCGCAGCCCAGATGAGGATTTCTCAGCAGAGGAAAATTCTCCCTGGTTCCCCCTCCCCCTCACCTCCGCCCTCTCTAATGCCCAGGGCCCTTCACTTCCATAATTCTTCATTTTCCAGCCTTGAACGTAAGCCAGACACATCTGTCTGGCCAGATGCGTGAACTCTGCAGTCTGTGCCGAGGTGGTTGTAAAACAGGGCCGCTGAAGGCCCTACTGGGAGAGCGCGCACATGTGTACCCTCCAGCTATTGGCTGGGGGCCCAGAACCACTGCACTGCACTTCCAAACCCACCCCAACCTTTCTGGATGTTTCCCCTTTTTTACAAATCCCTCTTGAGGTGCAGGTCGGAATTGTGCGAGGAGGGAGGGGCTGCCCTGCATTAACCAGCCCATTGCTGCTGGCAGGGATCTGCTACAAGGAAAGCAGCAGCAAGTGAGATGGAGTTTGGAGAGAGGGGCTGTAAATTACAGCGGCCTGAAGCCTTCCAGCCTCCCAGGGTTGTTAAGTGGGAGGTGTCAGTAAATTCCCCACTTCCCAGCGCCGTGTTCAGACACAGCAAACAGGAACTGCACGTGTTCAGGGATGGCAGTGCTTGCAGAGCCCGACCGGGCCGCTAGCCCGTCTCTGCATCTGTGTACGGCTTCCCTGGCTGCCCCAGGGTCTCCACTTCCCATTGCACAGGGAGAGCTGGGGGCTGCCGGAGGGTGTCATGGGGTTTCTTTCCAGTGCACTCCTCCCTTCTTCCAGAGCTGCATGGGGCCGGGGCCTGGAGCCGGCTGGAGGTCAGCACGAGGGCGTGTGCTGCGTCGGGGCTGTGCAGCTGGGAGCCTGATTTTCAGGAGTGGAGGAGAGCTCATTGGGGTTTGAGTACAGTAATTCAGCCCAGCGTTGGCCAGGAAGAGAATGGAGCAGGACATGTGGAGGGCCCCAGCCTTCGTGCTGCAGTGGGTGCTGACCGACAGCCTGAGGCAGGGAATTGGACTCGCTAGGGAGCAGGAGGGGACTGAGTTTCACCAGCGTTTCATCTACCTAGCGTTGGCTGTCTGGAGCAGTGGGGTTCTGAGCCTTCTCTTGGGAGACTCTGCAGCCAGGCACGGCTTGCTCCTGAGACTCAGCTGACACTGTCCTTGATTTCATCCCATTTCTCCAGGCCCCTTCTAAAGCTTGCCTCCCCCTCCGTGAGAAGTGTGGAGCTGTCTCCCAACCTGACCCTGGGCCAAGCAGCTTTCAGTCTGCCTTGCTGAGGTAGATACGGCCCCCTTCACTGTCTGGGCACCTCACAGGAGCACTGCCAGCTTTTCTGCCGCCCTAGGCAGCGGAAGGTCCCACCCCGAAATGCCGCTGCGGTCGCCGCCCCCCAAATCGCAGCGACCGCCTAGGTCGCCTAATGGGTTGCGCCAGCCCTGGCACCTCGCAGTCTTTAATGTGTCTGAACTCACAGAGGCAGGGCAGGCACGACCTTTATCCCCACGCGACAGAGGGGAACTGAGGCCCAGAGGGACTTAGGGAGTGTCTACACTGCAGTGAAAGACCAGCGGCATGGCCACAGCTAGCCCAGGTCAGCTGACTCGGATTGCAGTGTAGACATTTGGGCTCAGGCTGGAGCCTGGGTTCTGAAACCCACGGGAAGGGCGGGGTCTCAGAGCCCAGGTTCCAGCCCAAGCCCAAACAGCTACTCTGCAGTTAACTGACCTGGGCTCTGAGACTCGGGGCCACGGGGGGGTTATTGCAATGTTAGACGGATCCTGAGGGACTCGCCCAGGGTCACAGGGAATCTGTGGTGGGCAGGGAGTTGAGCCCACCTTGCAGGTTAGTGCCCTGGGCACTGAGCTATCCTCTCTCTCTCCCTTTCCCCATCTCTCAGTCCCTCCAGCCCGCTGGTTGGTTTCCGTGCTCTTCACTGAGCTTCCTGCAGCTTGTCAGGCTCTGTGGTGCCCAGGAGGGAGTGCAGCATTCCAGGAGCAGACTCAGCAGCCCTGTGGAGAGGGGTTCTCCCCTCCCTGCTCTGTGCATGCAGCCCCAAATCCCACCCGTCTCCTTTGCCTCTGCTCTTGCAAGCCCTGTCCACCTCGCCCCTCAGGCTGGGTCTGCCAGCCCCAGGTTCTGTCCCCCCCAGAGGGACTGACTGAGGTGGGATTCGCTCTCCCCACCCAGCTGGATTAGCTGCATTCTTCCCAGCTGAATCTTCTGGCACTTCCTGCCCATTTCTGCTATCAGTGTCCTCTCTGACGTGCTCCCCATCTCCCATCATGGCTGCCGACAGGTTGCATGACTCCCCACCCTAGGTCGCCCCAAGCCCCATAGGACCCTTAGGCATGTGCGCCAAGTTGGATACTGGCCGTTGCTTCAGATCCCTTAGTCAGCTTTGTCGCACACGACAGGGCCGGTATCCGAGCCCACCGAATGCAGTGGAGTGCAGTAGTTTGTGTGACACCCAGAGCCCATGTCCCCTGCACTCCCTTTAGGTCATTGTTCTTTAGGTAACGGTGCCTGGCGCTCCTGGCCCCATTAGCCTCTGCGTGCTCGAAGGGCCTGGCTCCTGTTCCATTGCCCGGGAGGGAGAGGAGCGTGGCCTGAAGCACTCTCCTTCCCTTTGAAGGCCTGTGCCCCTGATGCAGTAGGGGTTGGAGCAGGAGCCAGAGGGCATAGACTTTCAGCTCTGTCTACCTGTACATTTCATAGCCTGTTCTCTCTGCCTGGGCTGGCGTCCCCTTGGCCCGCCTTCCCTGCGGGGGCAGAGTCCTGGTGCCCCCTTCACCCATTTCCTGCCATTCATCCCAGCTGGTATGTCTGCCCACTCCTCCCCTTTGCTCCCAGCCAGCAGAAGTGTTGCTGTGTTTAAACTTAGAGCCGCACGGCTGAGTTCAGCTTTTTGAGCTCTTATATTCTTCTCATACACTGGCATAGATGCACCAAAGGTCTTTTGCACCCCTCGGACCTGGGGCCCCCCAGTTCTCTTGTCGGGGAAGTGGGACTCCCACAGGGCAGGAGGTTTATTTCTTGTCACACTCTAACTCCAGCTCTGGGGAAGGTGGAAGCAGCTGGGCCTGGGGCCGGGGAGCAGCGTTCAGCTGTCCTAGAAGAGCATGAGTAGAGCAGCGTCCAGTGTAGGGAGGTGGCTGGGGTGGGGAGGGGTAGATCTAGACCTCAGCCCTCGGCCAGGAGCTCCTTTGGGCACTTGTGGCCCTCTCAGACCGATCCCACCGGCCAGAGATTCGCTGCTCCTCTCCCAGTGTGCTGGGCCCAGGCTTCCCTCTGCACATCCTAGGACCCAGCACAGACGTCTCCATTTCCCCTTCCCCGTGTCCCCCAGCAGTAGTTGGTTAGACTGCAGTGGGCATGGGGGTGAGAGGCAGGGACACTCCCGGCTGGGAAGAGCCCTGGTGCCCCATCTGGGGTGTGACGGGGTGGTAATTCTAACTCTGTGTATGGCAGCAGGGCCCCTCCCAGGCAGCCATGTTCTTCCTTAGGAAGCGCTGGCTGCTGCCCGGGTTCCCAGCCTCCCCCGCCCCTTGGCCGAGCCCTTGGTCCATGCTGTCCTTTGTGCCACTGCTGTGCACTGGGAGCGGTCAGGTTTCCTGAACCGCCAAAAACATCCCACCTGAACCATAACAGGCTCTTCCTCTGGATGCTGCTATTGTTTTGCTCGACATTACAGAAGCAGCTTAACTGGGCAGCCAATTATGACATGTCTTCCCAAAATAGCCTCACTCCTGTCCCCTTCGAGCACACACAGCGGCCGCCCCCTTAAGATGCAGCCGCTCCTTTGTGGCGGCTGCGTGAGTAACTTTCTAAATATAGCCACATCCCATTCACGCTTTCCATTGAGGAACAATGCGGCGGGTGCACACGCGCTGACACGCACCTGCCGGGGAGCGGGTGCCTGCTGGCTGCGGAAGGCGTACACCCACCCCCGGCGGCTCCACCACGGCGGCGGCCCCAGCTCCCTACCAGGCACAGGGCACGTTTACTCCTGAGGAAGACGCTGCCGACAAACCTTGGAACTAGGAAACCCTGGAGCAGAGTCTAGTAACAGGCATTGTTCTCGGTCCCTTGGAAGATCCGCCTGTATCCCCACGGAGCAGACAAAGCCCGAGTGGACAAGAGCAGGAATGGTGTCGGCGCCCCGGCCGGGGCAGGGGGGCTGGTGTGGTGGAGGGACTGTCGTACTGCTAACAGCCCCATGGGGAGCGGTGTGCCAGGGACTCCTCCCACAGCGGGCACACTATTCATCGCTTCCCAGGGCTGTCCTGGGGCCTCTCTGCCCAGACATGGTGCTCAGTGGCTTGTCCTCGCTCCGTGAGCAGGATCCATCGGAGCCCCTCAGTCTGCACTGTGACGGGTACTGCCCAGCATGGGGCCCTCCAGGCACTACACAGGCTGCACCATGGCTCTGCTCGTGGCTGGCTCCCTTTCCAGACAGGAGGCACTAGCACAGTCCCCAGGGGGTCCAGCTGGTGCTGATATGGAGGGAATTTGGGGCTCCAATGTGTTCAGAAGTGCCTGATTTCTGTGCTGTCACCAGCTGGGGCAGCTGAAAGATCCACCCTCCTTACCAGCCCCTCACACTCCCTGGGCCCGTGGGCTGAGTGCCGTGAGGAGTTGGCTGCAGACCAGCCTAGAGTATCCCATTGGGGCAGAGTGCAGGGCAGAAGCCGTGGCTCCAGGCCATGGGCTGGCGGAGGATGTGGAGGACTGCCTGGTCCTTCCCAACAGCTCCTCTGCCATGTAAATGAGCCACTGCACCCTCTGCCAGAGAGGCATGGAGCGCTCGCTTCCTCTTGCCCTAAGAGCTCAGGGTTGGAGCCAGGCTGGCCTCACCCACTGGGAACCAGGGCCCCAAAGTCCATCTCACGCAGCACCAGCTGTTACTCCAATGCTAATAATACTCTGTGGTCCTTCATGATTCCCGGGGCTTCACACACAGCCTGGCCTCCCAGCTCGTGGGGAAGGGCCATCGTCCCCATTCTAGTGATGGGGAAACTGAGGCCCGGAGAGATGAAGTGGTTTCCCAGAGTTACACATCACAGGAATAGAAGCCCGGGATCCTAACTCCCAGCCCAGTTTCTCTTCCTCTTGACCATGGTGCAGGCTCCCATGTCCTCAGTACCAGCGGAAGAGTTAACGTGGCTCCTGCCTCTCAGTTCTGCACACAGGCTCTCTTCCGTCTTTGGCACAAGGCCAGTGAGAGGCTGTATGAATCACAGGCCACTCCCCCTCCCCCCCCATGTCCCCTTGGCCAGAGGCTTCTGCAGCCTTTTACTCACACAAACAAAAATAAATCTCGCTGCCGGCCTCTGAACTCTGCAAAGGCGAATTTCCCTCTGGCTCCCTGAGCGTCCTGGAGCTGCGAGGGGACTTGGCACACTCCCCACAACCTCGCTCTTTCACTCCCTGCGCATCCTGTGTCCTCCTCTCACCGGGCGGCCCGGGGAGCGGAATGGGACGTGACGACCAGCACAGGCCCTGCTCGCAGCTGCCAAGAGTCTGATGGGTACAGTCTGTGAGAGCTGGGATGGGAAATGCCACATGCAAGGGGGCGCGCAGACTGGGTCACCTGCACACTGGGCGTGTACACGGAGTCCCACGCAGGGACTCGGGCCTGGCATCACCCATGTGCATACGCACACAGGGTCTCATATGGGGAGTGATCCGTGTGTTCAGACAGCCTCCCACAGTAACCCTGAAATCCGCTATCCAGTGGGGCCTGACCTGTCCCCTGCACTTAACCCGTCTGCTCCCAGGTGAGGGGGAGCGGGGGCTGCCCTTGCCAAAGGGGGCATGTTCTACACAGCATGCAGAATGTCATGGTGCCAGCCACTGCCTGGGAGCTTCTCTCCCTGCAGTCCCCTGGCACTAGTCTGAATTCTGAATGTGGCTGTCTCACTGCTCTTCTCCCACACCGACATCCAGAGCAGCTAGCAGCAGCTGCCATACCGCATAGCACATCCAAGCCCTCTCTAGGCCCCTCGTCCACCTGTGCTCCCTGCAAGGACCCTGCCCACTGGAGCACCAGCTACATCTTAGTGGGCTCTGAATTAACTGGGAACCACCCAACCTCTCGGTGCAGGTGCAGATGTATGGTTTAAAAGTGCTTATACCAGTGGAGCTATTCCTGTCCAGGAACAGGAATAAACCACACCAGCAGAAGGCACCTTTATACCAGCCTGTCTGTGTCCAGACACGGGATTGTCCCAGTGGAGCTGTGTTGGTAAGAAATCTCACCCCTCCCAGGCATAGTTACACTGGTACAAAAACTGCATGAGTGTCAGCAGTGCAAGCTCTGAGAAGTGCTCTGCGTACAGCCCCGGGGAGGTGCGTGCCCTTGAGGTGCTGGGGGGTGGGACACAGCTCCCTGCTGTAGTCCCATTAGCTCTCTCTGGCCCAGGAGTGTGGAGGCTCTGACCAGGGTGTTCAGAATTGGAGCCTGAGGGATGCGCCAGGTCGGGGACTTGCTATGGCGAGGCCCCCTGCTCACTCTTCGCTCTGGGCTCTTACAGGCTGTGCTGAAGGATCAGAGCCAGATGCGGCAGATGGAGCTGGAGATCAGACCTGTCTTCCTGGTGCCAGACACCAACGGCTTCATCGACCACCTGAACAGCCTGAAGAAGCTGCTGGAGTGGCGGAAGTTCATCTTGGTGGTGCCCCTGATTGGTGAGTAAGGCCAGGCCGAGGTGCATGCTCCCTCCCCCCCTTGCTGCTACCTGCAGTGGGTGCTGCCCCTCCAGCTGGGCAGGTCCTAGTCTCCCATGTGGAGCCCTCGGCAGGCTGACCCCCTGCATCCCGCATGGCCCCATAGTTACTTGTGTGGTCTGTTGCTGTCTTGCGGTGCCTTGGCTAGTGGTGGGCAGCGTGATGGATAACTGTGTTCATGAGCCAGCAGATGATCCCACGTGAGTTCTTGCCATTGGTGCTGGGCAGGACGGGGTGGGCCAGGGTTCACCCATGGGAGCCACGTGCCCAGGCAGGTGGGCACTCTCCCCACACATGCCCTTTGGCAGGTCTCTTGCAGACACTCTTCTGGTCCCTGTCACTGTTGGCTCCCTTCCCACAGGGCACAGGTCTGTGGGAGGCGGGAGGGTGTTAAACGGGATTTTGAGGGAATTTGGAAAGGAACAGGGTGGGGGAATTGTTAAACAATCCAAGCAGACAGCTTAGCCTGGCTGAGCTGGGGCTTAGGCAGCCGGAATAAATGGCCAGCCTGTGTCCCAGCGAAGCCCAGCCTTTCTTTTTCTCCTTATAAAGCTTGCAGTAAAACCCAAGCTGGTTCCCGTTATTGGGAAACACTTGCCTGGCAGATACCGGCTCTGCTGCTGGGTGGTCTCCCAGGGCGGCGGAAGGTTTGGTTAGCTGCCTTCGCTCTGATGATCCGATCACACCCTGGGGTCGAGGTATCGTCCCTCTGGCCTGTCTCGCTCTAGAGCTGCAGAACTGGAGCACCCGTGGAGGTAGCCCGAGCCCCGGGCAGCACTAGCCTGCAGCGCAGAGAATTCCTGGAGGGACGCAGAATCAGGACCAGAGCTAAGCGTCTCCAGGCCAGTGCCCCAGAGAGCTGCCTGTCCCTGCCTCAGTTCCCAGCCTTGGGGCCTGACCGCCTCTTGCCTGGGTCTGTCCCAGTCTGAGTGAGCAGGACTACGTGTAGCATGTGGGCAGTGGGACAAGCATACCTGTGTGAAACACTTTGGCATAGTGCACTTGGGAATGGAGGATTGCAGGCCTGGGCCCCTGCTGCCACGAGTGCCGGGAGGGGCATTCCTCTCTCGGCCTTGTGTTTGCAAGACAGGTGTCCCTGCAGGGTGCGGGGCAGTAGTGAGATCCAGGGACCCACGGGCACCCGAAGGAATTCCATAGCTCGAACTCTGTCACCAGGAAGATGCTGTGCCCTCCTGCTCACTCGGCTCTTCATGGAGGGCCATCGTCAGCACCAGGCAGTAGAGCAGGAATTCCTGTCCTGGGGGAGGATTCCTGGTTACGGCAGAGGGGGATCCATCACCTGGCTGAGTGAGCTGGCTGGCTGCCCAGCTCAGCATGGGAACCCTAGGGTGCGCAGCAGCTCGGCATTCCAGCTCCAGGGCTTTGGAAGCAAAGGGAAGGAAGCTGTCAGCCCCAGCAGAGCTTACAGAGCCCTGGGGCGTTCTGCGACCCCCGCTAACTGCACCTGAGAATGTTGGCATCCTCCCTTCGGCTCTCGTGTGGTTTGATTGAAGCTGGGTAACCCCAAGCCCCAACCAGAGGGCTAGAAACCCAGCGTCCCCACCCTGCCAGAGGAGTTCCTGCCCTACAACCACAGCCCTGTCAGTCCCTGGGGATCTAGGATGCTGTGGGCACTGCTTGGCTCCAGCTGCCTGCAGCCACGAGAGAAGCAGCGTAGCCTGAGCTTATGGAGTCTAAGCCTGGCTCTGACACCTCTTTCCCATTTGTGCCCCAGTTTCCCCCATGTTAGTGGGGCTGATGGGGCCTCACCCCCACGAGGCTGCCACATCTCCTTGCTGGCTGTTAGTAAAGCATGCCGAAGCAGCAACGTCTGTGGCTGTGCTGGACATAGGTTGATTTCTCCCGCGCACACAAAGGCCTGTGCCCTGGTCAGTGTGAACCCTTGGCCGAGGGAGCTGAGCTGGCCCCCAGGTGCGGGAGCGGGAGGCACAGCATTCCCCTAACAGCAGAGGTGCTCGGATTGCGGGATGCAGCAAGGGGTTAAGTGTGCAGCTTTCCATTCACTTTGTTTCTCTTGCTCTTTAACCTGCTCCATGCTCCTCAAGCCTGACCCTGCCATAGAGAAGCCAGGCCTGGTGCAGAAGCACAAACAAGCCTTCCCTTTGAAGCCTGTTTGGTTTGGAAGCAGGAAAGCGGATTTCGGGATGGAATACCAGCTTTTCCTGTTTGATGTTCCGTTTTTGCACCACTTCCCTCACCCCCCCCCGAATCCCAGCCGTGCAGTGTGTGGAAATGGCAGCAGTGGGTCTCTGGAGTCAGGAATGAGTGAGGAGTGAAGCAGCTCCATGTAGCTTTCATCTGAATACCCAGACAATGAGTGCCAGCCTCCCCCTAGAACAGAGCGATCCCACAGGCTCCCTGTGCAGTGATTCACAGCACTGGGGAGAGGCCTCAGACCCCGAACGCTCTCCCCAAGCCCCCGAGGAATGCATATTTCCCACTTGATCTCAGGGCTTTGGCTTGGAGCTTGGAAAGAATCTTCAGAAATTAAGCCATGTCTGAAAGCCAGACTGCGCACGGAGGCTCGCTCGCTCCCTCCCGTGCACAGAGCACGATCACCCACTTGCCCGTGCCCACAGTCCCACTGTCTCTCACACACGGGCTGTTTCTGGGGTGTCTCTTATTGGGAGAGGCTGTGGGCCAGGGGCTCCCAGCGCTTCCCGTCCGACAGCCCCTGTGGGCATTGCTGCGGTCTCTCGTGCTGGCAAGGGCACCCCCCACTCTGCCCTCAGGTGCTGGCGAGGTTGAGGTTTTCCTGTCCCTTGGCACCAGTACAGAAGGCTCTAGGACTTAATCCTCAGCCAAGCAAAATGAGCAGCAGGCCTGGGAGTCACCTGATGCGGGGTGAGGCTCCGCGTGTCAGGAGGGCAGCATGCTGCCTCTGCCTCCCTGTGTCCCACAGGCTGGGCAGGAGGGGTCTCGCTTCTCCCTCTTGCAGCCAGCCCTGCAGGGGGTTGGGGCTGTGTGCGTCATCCTGCCTAGGGGACCAGAGCCAACTGGCAATCCCACCTCCCCCCGTGAGCCGGGGACAGTGGCTGCTGTGGGGGGCGTTGCAGGGGAAATGGCAGGGCGCGCACTGCCCACCTGTGCAGCACTTAGCCAGGTGCATTCCTCAGCAGCATCAGTGATTAGCTGCTGTAGCCGGGAGGTGGAGATGGGGCTGGATGGCCCAGCATCGTCCTCCAGCCTGCACTGCCCCGGGTCTGGCCTCCCCACAGGCTCTCTCCCCTCCCGTCCCTCAGCCTGAGCTCTGAGTAAAGCATCCAGCTCAGCGTGAGTGAGTGACAGTAGTGCCTGGAGACCCCCGGGATCCAGCCTTATTGTGCTGGGTACACTCAGAGACCGCCCCGCCCTGAAAATAGCTTCCCCCGAGCAGTCCAAATAGGCAAGACAGAGCCGGGGGGGGGGGGGAGAAAAGCAGCAGCATTCTCCCCATTTTGCAGGTGGGCAACTGAGGCCCAGGGATGAGGTGACTTACCCAGGGTCACCTGCAGAGTCTGTGTCAGAGCCAGGAATTGAACCTGCGTCTCCTGAGTTTCAGCCCAGTGCCCTATCCATAAGGCCCTTGGGCAGGTCTGTGTCAGGCTTTGGCTGCAGTTCCCAAGAGCATCCGTCTGCATCCTAACTCCACTTCCTCTTCCCTTTGGTTTCCAAGTGATCAATGAGCTGGATGGCCTGGCCAAGGGCCCGGAGCTGGAGTATCGGCCTGGGGGCCATGCCCGCCTGCTGCAGGAGAAGGCCAGGAGAGCCATTGAGTTCCTGGAGGAGCGCTTTGAGAATCGCGACAACTACATGAGGGCTCTGACTAGCCGAGGCAACGAACTTGAATCCATCTCCTTCCGCAGCGAAGACACCACCGGCCAGCAGGTGAAGGGAGGTGCAGCCCAAAGAGGACACTGCTCGGGGGAAGCTCGCAGCACGGGCAGCCCCATTTCTGCAGTGGTGATGAGGTGCTGGGCAGAGGGCATCCCAGGGCTGGAGGGCAGCTCTCCCTCACCCCCACCCAGGAACCCTCTGCACATCTCCAGCCAGCCCTGGGGGTCAGTGCTGCAAGGCGGAGTTCAGCAGTTCTCTTTCCTGACATGGGTCATGTCATCCTTCCTTCCAGGGCAACAACGACGACCTGATTCTGTCCTGCTGTCTCCATTACTGCAATGACAAGGCCAAGGACTTCATGCCCACCAACAAAGGTACAAGCACAGGGTCAGGGCCACTCACAAAGACGTGAGGGCCCACACACTGTGCCCAGGCACCTGAGAAAAAGACCTGGGCCCCACACGCCAGCCATGGACTGTGCCGGGCACCCAAGGAAGCAGAGACTCAGGGAGTTTATCACTCTGGTCCTTTTGGCTTCCCCTCCCCTCACACGGTGCCGTGTGCACACGTCCCTCGGCACATGCCAGAACCTGGAGCCGCTGTGGCGCAGGAGCAGCCTGTGCTCAGCCCTCCTGGGAGTAGCATTCTGCTCATTGGTTAATCTATTACCAGCAGCCTCGCGCAAGATCAGGATCAGGGTGCCGTGTGCTGGTGCTGATCAAACACGGCCTCTGCTTTGGGCAGCTGGCAGTCTAAGGGCTGCTCCACACAACGTTAGGTTGGCTTAACTACACCGCTCAGGGCTAGGAAAAAGTCACTCCCTGTGCAATATAATTATGCTGCCCTAAACCCCAGTGTAGACCCCACTGGGTTGACAGAAGAATTCTACCGCCTATTGGCGAGGTGGATTGACTGCAGTGCTGGAAGAACCCCTTCCAGCTCCGTGGTTAGTGCCTCCACGCCAGCGCTACCATGGCCTGTTCCCTCGGAAGTGGCACATGGCGCGTATCCCGGGCTGTCTGCGCACGGCAATGCCCTTCCCTCCGTTTGCCCACTTGGCGTCTGGCGCCAGGTACTAAAATCAGACCATCCCAGAGCTGTTTGCAGGGGCTGCTGGGACGGGAATTACATCAGCAGCTGCCCCAGAAACACACATTTGTCAGCGCAAATTCTTAGCAGCTTAACTTGTCAGATTCACAGCGAAACCGTCACCAAATGTTTATGCGTAAATGATGCTGAATTTTAAAATCATGTGGATTATGGTGGATGGGGCCTGACAAGCTGACAGCCTCTGGTTTGTAACAAGGAGCCACGTCACCAGGCTGAGAACAGAGGATGTTTATTGTTACACATTTCTCAGTGTCCGCACAAAACCTCCTGATCCTGCTGCCAACAGATCCCTGCCTCCTCCCCCCCCAACGCATCAGATCCCGGACCCCCCCCCATGAGCTTCCCCCCCCCCCCCCAACGCATCAGGCCCAGGACGCCCTCCTATGAGTCTGCCCCTCCCAGCCCAGCAGGTGCCAGGGGCCCACCCCTTACAACACAGCAGGTCCCTAGACACCCTCCCTTGGGCCTGCCCCTCCATGCAGCAGATCCTGGGCCCATGGTGGGCTTCCATGGACTCTTGTTTTTTTCCATTCAAGCCCTGCTTTGGAGGCACAGTCACAGGATCCAGCTGCTTACAGACGCCCTGTTCACTTCCCCTGCTCCACTGTCCTGTAAGCCGAGTTCCCCCAGCCCCAGGGCAGCTCACCCGTCTAATGGGCGAGACCATTTCAGTTATTTCTCAGGGCTCAGCCCTAATGTTCGTGGCCCTTCAAAGGCAAAATGACTCTCAATAAGGTTTGGTTTTAAAGACCTTACAATGAGCATCAGTGTCCTGCTGGAACGTACGTCAGAGGCCGTATTCCTGCCCCTTAAATGTGCTGCCTGCTCTGTGCTTTCTGCTTTACACACAACCCCAGCCTGGGGCATAGCAGGGCCCTCTCCAGGGTTCGTGTGGGACGGACGTACATGCTGGGGATACATACAGGGGCCAGATCTAATCTGTGATAGGGACACTGCATGCCTGCTGTGCCATGCCCTAGGGCTGTCTCTGACTGGCTTCAAGGGTCAGTATACAGAAGTCATCTGCTCATGAGCCGGACAGCTGAGCCACACCCCACAGGTGCCAGGAGGGCTCATGCCCTGTCCAGGGCACCTGCAAGGCCTGGGGACACCTTGCTGTTTGCCTTCAGTACATAATGCTTCATAGCCCAGGTAGAATATCCTCACCAAATACCAAAGAGCACCGCTGGGACTGTGCCCTGGGCAGAGCATGTGTCTGCAGCTGGCGGGGTTTGAGGACGGGGAGGTTGGGCCAGGCATAGGGACAGCATGAAGGAAGGAACCAAGTTGAGTGGGAGAAGCAGCCCAAGCGGGAAGAAGCAAAGAGCAGGCCGGGGCAGCTGTGGGAGAAGCTGAGGGCAGCATTTGGTGGAGCAGAGCTGGGTGGCTGCATGGCTGTCGTGTGCTGACAGCAGAGTTCAGGTGGCTGGCAGGGGCTGGTTAGCTCCCCCTCAGGACAGGAGCTACCCCTAAGCACACGTCCTCTCTGGTTATTGTTTCAGATGATCCAATCCGTCTGCTCAGAGAGGTGGTGCTGCTCACGGACGATCGGAACCTGCGTGTCAAGGCGCTGACCCGGAACGTGCCCGTGCGAGACATTCCCACCTTCCTGAAGTGGGCCCAGGAGGGCTGAGCGGGTGTGACTGAGGAGGAGATGTCCCCGCGTGAGTGACGCAGCGTGTTGCTGGTGGGAGAATGGCTTTCAAGGCAGCCCTGCACCACCACCACTGCCTCCCGACCCACCATTGAACAATAAACACCACGTCTTCAAACCCAGCCCCGAATGGCCATGCTGCAAAGGGAAGGTCCCTGCTGTGGATGGGTCGTGCGGAGCCCAGGACTCTGGGGGTTGCCAGGGCCTTTGGGAAGAGTGGGGGGCAGAGCAGGGGGGCACTGGTCCCTGGGGGAAGCTTTGGGCTAGCCCCATTGCCCTTGTCAGCATCCTTGACTGGAGAGAGCTCCCATTGGAGGCCAGCGTTCTCCTCGGAGCTGTGCTCTGAGCCGGCCAAAGGAATGGGAGCCTCCTGTCTGTTAACTGGCTACGAAAAGCAGGAGGGACCTGGCGTTGTGGCAGTTCCTACTGGCGGTTTCCAGAGGCGCTTGTGTTCCTGCTGGAGCCCTGGCTGCACCCCTGAGACACTGTGAACGTGGAGGTCAGGGTCTGTCCTGCTGTCTCTGGCCATTTCGCTCACACCTTGGCTGTTCCTCTCCGCCTGTCTCGATTCCTTCGTCTGTCCACTTGGCTGGCAGCTCCTTGGAGCCCTAGTTGTGTCCCGCGGGAGTAGGGCTGCAGCAGCCCTGTCACTTCCCAACACTGGAGTCTGGGGGGAAAGTAACGGATATTTGGCTCCTTTTCCCCTTTTGAAGATGCTCTGGTCCCCTCTCCAGCACGGGGGCAGCAGGTCCTGCTCTGAGAACGTCACCTCAAGCTTTAGGGTTGTCTATTGCTCAGGATCCATTGCTGCTAAGGAAAAGCATTAAATACCCAGGCTGCATTGTACCTTGATTGCTCCATACATCCTCTGCCCCATATACCTCCTGAGCCCCCTACTCTGCCCC